TCACAATGATTGAGATACCATTTTTTACTGATGTGGTTTCACAGGTTCTATGTGTAGATCAGTTATTTTAATGTACAAAATGTTCACTTTAAATGGAATTTCATTATTACTGAGATTTAGCTGTGCCGTCGCCATACAGAAGGCACTAACTGAATGATGCACAGTATATTTATCAATGCTCAGTAGTTATCATTACTTTATTGTATCCTGTTGATAAAATTTTCATATGTGATTTTCACTTTCCTACTGAGATGCAGAGCCCCCCCGGGGTTTGGGGCGGAGCCCCAACAAGCTGTCGACCCGCCGAAGGGACGGACGCGAGCGCAGCGAGTCGGCCGTGCCGAAGGCACGGGTCGTAAAGCTTGTTGTGTTTTAATGTATAGGATTTTTCATGTGACTTTCCATGTGACTCGGCTAATTGTGTTTTAATGTATAGGATTTGCCAGGCCGAGCGAGCGCACGAGGTCTCATGTACTTGTAGTTAGGGCATTGTATTAGTAGTCGTGCAATGGAATGAAATTGATTTTGGAAGATACATGGGCAAGGAAAATAGCGGACAATATTCGTCCAATATGAGTATAACGGCCGGGCAATATTCGGCCAATAGAGCCTGTTTTCTCAGAATATTGGACGGCCTTGATTTGAACAATATCTGGCCAATATCCGGCCAATACAGGGTGTATTGGCCAGATTCTGGCCACTGAAAATTTGCCTCAAACTCCGGTGGCGGGGTTGAAGTTGAACCTACCATCGGCTATAAAACCAAAAAACGGCGGAGAAAAAAAAGTTGACGGTTGAACCGTCAGGTATTTTTTTATGCCACTTGTGCATGGCACACGCTCAGCAGCAAACGCAACACCGATTCGTTCGTATAAACATTCCCCGCGCGCCACTCTCAAATCCACCCCGACGGCCACCAGCGGCGTTTACCAAAACTTGGAAAAGTATGTGCGCGGGGCTGAAGTTGAACCACCATCGATATCGAGTCAGTCGGCGGCGCCATTCGGTTGATTTCTACTCGTTCCACTAGCGGCGGTTTACCAAAATTGGGAAAAGTATATGTGCGCGGGGTTGAAGTTGAACCACCATCGATATCGAGCTAGTTGGCGGCGCGACTCGGTTGATTTCTACTCCGCGCTCTTTTATTTCTCCCCTTAAATACATGTCCGGCGGCGCTCCCCTCAAGTCCACCGGCACCCCGCAATACACATGGTAACGGTGCCGATTTGAATCACGAATCGAGTTTTCCAACACGACATGCATGTGCTGCGGAGTTGAACCGTTCACGTCTCCCCCGTTCTACACCGTTCTTGTCCAACGGTCATTTCCTTATGGATTAGCCTCGGCACCCCGACTCCGATGCACAATAATAATAATCCTAATATCTCCCGCACCACCCTAAAGTCCACTCAAAGTCCCTTCCGGCGGCGACCGGCGGTGATTTGAATCATGGATATTCTTGAACCTGAGGAATATCCAGGAACATCCATCTTGCTGTTGGAGTCCGAACCCGCGCGTTAACGTTAACGTTGCCTGGCCAAATTAAAAAAAACGCGTCACCGTCTACCAAGTTGAAGTACGTATGTCGCGATCGGGATGACTCACGGAGGATATTAATTAAACTGTCATTTGCGATGTGCATACTACAGTCATTGGCACTGTCATTTGCACAGTTTCCTTCATACCTTTGTTTAGAACAAAGAGCTCGCCAAGTGACAGTTCAAGTGACTGTAGCACGGCAAAGCGCAAGTGACAGCTGAATGTCCGCCGTGTTATGAATCCGGGGAACATCCATCTTGCTGTTGTGCCGAGCTACGCCGACTCGGATTCTCGGAGTTGTGTTTCCGTGAAGATATACGAACTCCCGGCGTCCCGACAACCAAATTTAAAAGGCGTCTACCGGTAGCTCCACGCGACGCGAATCGGGATTACGACGCGTCGCCTGGCGTGGGCGTCCCGGATTCTCGACACCGACAAACCAAATTTCTGGACCCCCAATTTATTTTTCAACACGTCAACTAGTGGTTGCGGCCTACGCAGGTGTAGCCTTCGATTCCAGCCAAGTTCTGGACATCTGGCCTTCGTCTTCTCTTTGACAACCATTAATACTTGGCGTGCGCCTTTCTCGGGGTCCGTCGGGCACGGGTTTGCCTTCTAAGTTGCGTGGTTAAGCTGAAGCTTGGACAAGGCAGCCCCGCGGCGCGTTGATCAGCGAGCAACTGCGCCTCGAATATTTCTATTTCGCTCCTAGACCACCCTGACGCCCGAATTAGCACAATACTTATGAGGGTCGGGCGTGTCGGTATCCGTTGGGCGCGGGCAGGCTTACCTTTCGGATATTAGAGGCTGAAACTAACCACCCGACGCGTCGCCTCTGTATTGAAATAAACGCACCGTACTGTTCCATGTGTGTGTCGCCCTAGATCTATTAATACCACGATATCCCACGCGAGCGACGCTTGTGCCGCTTCGGGTGCAAAGTCGTCGAAACAGCTGAACATGCCCTGTTCTTTTGTGTGGGCACGCCGGAACTGAAAGAGCGACGAGCCCAATTTGTTGCCTCGGTCAGTTCAAGAAGCCCGGGGATTCTAACAGTGACGCCTGCGAATGCGACGTGCGTCCTCAAATCTCTGATCTATCGGCGAGACACCGTGTGTCATACAGCCAAATTTGTTCACCGTGTCTTTTCAGTCTTCGACAAAACTCTCATGGTGTGGCCAGGTGCGGTGTAAATTCTTAATTACCAAACGCTAGCTGAGTATCTATAGCTACAGTCAGTGGCCCTGAGATCTACAGCCTTAAATGGGGTGAGCTCGTCGAGGGGAGGTTGGCTGTGGCGTAACCGACAAGTACATTATATAGGCCGATGTACTGTAGCTACAACTCGGCACGTTCCGAAAGGGAACCTAGCTGAGCTACTAATTTATCCTGAGTCTTATCCACCGGTCCAAGCACACAATATCGATCCCACCTAAGACGCACCTGATAAACCCAACCCCGCAATCCATGAGTCATGCCCACCGCATGACCCCTCGTGCGATGCGTTATCTAGTCGTGAAGGGGGTCGATGTTATCATGGTGCCCCCCGCCAATTGCGATATGGGGCGGCGCGAGGTCATGGGTGGGCTTATCATTCCAGGGCTGACAGCGCCAGCCTTGGCGTGTCATCGTCCCGCTACCTGAGACTTGTAATTCGGAGGGTTGTCAACTTCAATTCAGTCCCTCACACCGGCCCGCGCCCCCGCATTGGCTGGGATCAGCTGGTGTCGCAGCGATAACGCTATTATGGAGACACGATTGTGTGCTTAGACCGGGTGTATTGATAGATAAGCTTGGCGCTGGCAACAGGGGGAGACTTCGTGGGGTGCCATGGGTGGGGTGGGGTAGGATGCAAACCGGGGGGAAAATCGCTGGTGCGAATCGGACTGATGCAAATCAGCTCGAGTCTCGGCACCACTCTCGATCGACGATCTAACCTGGAGTCCCAAACGCAAGCTGGACTCGCGATTTGGAATGACCGTTGAACCAAAATGGAGGTGGCAGGGACTCGTAACTGAACCACATGCCATCACTGCGTTCAGCGGACGGATAGCCGCAGCACCGCCGAGCCAGAGATAGCCGGAGGTGCCGTCTAGATGCCGCTAGCCGGTCTAGCCACGTGCGGCTAGGGCTTGCCCATCGTCTAGCGTCAGGTAGCGGGGCTTGGCGAGGTTCGGCGGGTGGGCTAGCCGAGGGCTAGCCGCAGGGCGGCTATGCGGCCTCGCCATGACCTCGCAACATCTAATCACACCGTGGCTATACGACCCTGGCTAGGCGACCCTCAACATCTAGGCTAAACATAGCCAGCCCTAGCGACATCTAGCCGAACCCGCGGCTATCAACCCGCTGAACGCAGTGCATGGCCATGTTCAAGTTGACAAAACCTACTAGTCATGATTTAAATCGCCGGTGGACTTGCTACAGCGGTGGAGCGCGGACGGGAACATATTCAGAGGGGCAGAAACCCAGAACGAGGATCTTCTTGAGCCCGGGAACATCCCATCCATCTTGCTGCTGCGCCCACTCGGAGTTCCCCGCGCGCGCATTTCTGTGAGGATATACGAAACGCGGCGCGCCCGCTTCCTGGGCGTCCCGACAGGCAGGGCCAAATTTAACAACTCCCCGCTGGCGACGCGTCTCCTCGCATATTATTCAAATCATTCTTGAACCCGGGGAACGAACCAGCTTGCTGTTTGTCTCCTCAAATTTCTGTACGCCAGAGCACTATGCCGCAAACCGGGATGACGACGCTTCCCGAACATTCAACGTCTTAACAAGTATGCCAATTTAAATTTTAAACACGTCTACCCCGACGGCGCGATCCGTGAATCGGGATCGGGATGACGGTCCGCGGCGGCGTCCCTAATTATAATTATAATACCACCGTCCCGACTGGCAGACGGAATTCCTTGGTACCAAATATTTCGAACACACCCACCTGCACGTGCAACCTTCGATTTGTTTAACTCCACCCCAAGCTAGACCCCGCGGCCCATTATAATAATATCCGATTAATACTTGGCGCGTTCGTCGCGCGACCTTCCTGGCTTTCATGGATACCAAGTGGAGGTGAAGCCGAAATTTCAACGCCGACGCGTCTTCCTACCCGGCCGTTCGTTCGTTCAAATAAGCATATGCATTTTCGGCGCGGATATTCTGCCCACTGCCGACCTTGGGTCCTTTTTTTTTCATCTCGCACCAGCCGCTCGCAAAGACTCACACCCGCTCCTCTATCCGGCCAGGGACTCTTTACGCTGTTATTCCACCGACATCTACAGCATCCCGATGCCAATACCATATATGTATATCATTCTGCCCCAAAATTGGAGCGGAGCACTTGCGGGACGGGGATATTGGATGTTGGAATTTGGAACGAGGTTCGTATCATGTTGTTTGGCGCTGCGCACTGCGACGACGCGTACCAAGCATTAAATATTCTAAAAAAATCAGAGACCAGCACACGCGCCGTCTAGGAATCGAACCCAGGACTCAACTTGTTACTTAAACAGATGATGAAGACAAGATCAAATTGTGTGTTACCCCTACACCAACGGCGCCCCACTACAAATTATGAGAAGAGTCATTCAAGGGGTAAAAAGTAGCTGCGAGCAGGGCAAAAAATCATCGGCCTCGCACACGCGAACCCAGGACTCAACCTCAATATGGGGACCGGCACTGCCTTTGATCGATCCGGAATGTTTGTCTATATTTATCCCCCACTAACAAGCAGTTCTGCATGTTCCGTCGTTTTCTGCCTTCCACATACACTTTCCGAGCTCATTTTTCAGACTGAAAGTGTTCATTGGATGTGTCCAAATGGGCCCCCTAAATAATATTGTCAATTGAGGTTGAAATCAAAGATATACCCCGCATTCTTTTCCCTCTTGCCATCATCTCGAAGAAAATGGTCATCCTCATAGTTCGTTAGAATATTCACCAAAGCTGTGGTGAAAGTTAATGAGTGAGAATAGGGCCCTAAACATCTGAAAAAACACTCCCAGAGTGAGATTTGAGCCCAGAACTCAGGACTCGGCTAATTTGTGACACAGGTCACCCACTGCTTACAGTGACAAGACGCGTTTGACTCGCCGGCGCAAAAAGCCTAAAACTTTTTCAAAACTTAACGGACTCTCCGACTTCAATGACAAAAGTCATAGATAAATGAACTCTCTATAGAAGTATCAGGCCAGATTTTTCAGAACTGTACCAGCACTGAAGGAGGGGCTTGAGAATCTGCAACATTGGATACCATCTCGCGTATTTGGAAAAATTAAAAAAACGGCTGAAGTACTTCCATTCTTTAGCATATTCAGTATCTATTGGCTGACTCAATTTGTCCTTGAAGTGTTGCGTTACAAAGTTTTAGCATTTGCGAAACTGGAACCGACTGCTTCTGCCAACCAACCAAACACGAACAAAGATGCCGGCTCGATCATGGCTGATGCCGGTCCCCACGAGTCAATACGCTCAAAGCCTTGTGCATCAAACTCAGATTGTGTGTTACCCCTACACCAACGGCGCCGTACTACTGAGAATGCCAAGAGCCATTTGAGTGGTAAAAAGTAGCTGTGCAGAGTAAAAGAGATGCATGCGCCGTCCGAGAGTCGAACCCAAGACCCAACCTCAATATGTCGAGAACCAACCCCATCAAGATCAGGCTGTGTGTTGCCTCTACACCAACGGCGCAATACTACAAATCATGATAAGATTTATTTGAGGAGTAAAAAGCACAGTCAGAAACCAAAACACAGAGCAACATGAGCCATACGTAGCTTCAAATGATTCCTAACATTAAATTGCATGTTCATTGTTGCCACTACACCAACGGCGCAATACTACAGACCATGATAAGAGCCATTTGAGGGGTAAAAGCAGCTGTGCAGAGCAAAAAAAAATTGGCTGTTGGAACGTATGCGCCGTCTGGGAGTCGAACCCAGGACTCAACCTCAATTACATCGTTTCTCGGCAAATTCAGATTGTGTGTTACCGCTACACCAACGGCGCCGTACTACTGAGCATGCCAACGTCGATTTGAGCGGTAAAAAGCAGCTATGAAGAGCAAAAAAGTTTGACCATACAAAACCCATGCGCCGTCTGGGATTCGAACCCAGGACCCAACCACAGACTACCACAACACTTCAATATCAGGTTGTGTGTTACCCCTACACCAACGGCGCAGTACTACAGACCATGCCAACGTCGATTTGAGGGGTAAAAAGTAGCTGTGCAGAGTAAAAGAGCGAGAATGGATGCATACGCCGTCCGGGATTCGAACCCAGGACTCAACCTCAATTTCCACTTATTTCCTCTAAATTCAGATTGTGTGTTACCGCTACACCAACGGCGCCGTACTACAGAACACGCCAAGGACCATTTGATGGGTAGGAATTTATGTGTAAGTGAGTCTTGTTTGTTGGGTGGTTGAATTTATAAGACACGACTGCGACGTTGAATTGAACGTTCGAGAGTTGATGCTATTTAAATTTACAATAAATCCACTGCCGAAATAAAATGGACGTACGTCGGGAGATTGATTACGCTGACGGGGAAGTTCGGAGGAATTGGAAGGAAGGAATTGGGAGAAGGAAGGAAGGAAGACTGAAGGACATATCGTTGCGGCACTGCTTCTACTGCTGTTGTATCAGGCCTGGACGCAGACCTAGTGTCATCTCGGTTCGGGTGCACCTCGGGGGTAGGTATTATGTATGGTCTAGGCAACGTCGAACGAGGCTGTCAATCTAGGCATCGGTCGTCTAGGGTCGTCTGTGGGCCGCGGACGTGAATCGAAATCTGTCATGCATACACGTAGAGTTCAAATGGGGTTGCTCGTCGACCTCGCCGTTGCTGGCGAGCAAGAATCACACTCCAGACCTGAGCTGGGCTACCATTGCGAAAGTATCACGGGCTGTGGTTGATCGGGGATCTGTGTGGATTCTCCACATCCCGACATCTGTGCGTCGGTGCCGCCGCGTAGTCCGGGGTATGGGGTACGGAGACATCGCCGATGCATTGAATGAATGAATGTAAGCGGGGTTGCGGGGCAACGTGGGGCCGAACAAGACCGAACAGGACTAAACCAAGTCCGATGAATATTTTTTCTTTCGAGTCGCTATTCGAGGCACTGTGCGGCTAAGCATTGCATGCGTCTCCGGGTGAATACGGGTTGTGGCCCTGATTCACATGCCGAGCTGTGCGGGGGTCGGACCGGTGCGTGTGATTATCCGGATAATGATCGATGCGGGGAAAAGATGACACCCGCTTCTTGTTCCTCTCAACCACGCCATGGCCGCCCGCCCCTACAAGTGCCCGTACCTTTTGTGTGGCCGCGCATTCAGTCGACTAGAGCACTACGTCTTGGTCTTTTCCACGTCACTTTAATTAGAAACAGCCCCAGACCCGCCGCCTGCGCACGCACACCGGCGGAAAACCCTTTGTTTGCACCTTTCTCATAAACGCCCTCCCTAGTTATTAATACACCCCCGCCGGTCCAAGCACACAATATTGATCCCATTGCAAGACGTACATGATCAAACATGATAGATCCAAACCTAAGCCCGCAACCCATGACCACGCGGGCAGCACAGGGCTAGACTCTGCTAGACTTGGAACTTGGCAGCGTTAAGTAAGTAATATTATTTAATCAGTATCATCCGCGCCGCGCTCGCTAGCGTGATCGCTGTGAGCGGGCCGGTATGGGGACCCTGCGCCGCCCTGTCGCAATTATTTTCGTATTGTGTGCTTAGACCGGGTGTATTAATAGATAAGCTGTGCGTGTTTGTTTCCCAGAGCGCAAATTTCCAAATTTCTGTACGCCATAGACAAATTCGCACTATGCCGGAAACCGGGATGACGACGCGTCGCAGGCCAAATCAAACACGTCTTGCTATCCCAATTCAAAATTTGAATTTTAAACACGTCTATTTTACCTCAACGGCGCGTCCCGTACGAATCAGGATGACGACTACGTCTCCTCGCACGGCGGCGTTCCTAATTATAATGCGCGTTCCCTCGCCGTCCCGACCAATCTATTTTTGAACACGTCTGGGCTACACAGGTGTATGTATAATATATAATTATGTATGCGTCTACTGCTAGTCGAGGCCTATGCAGGCTACACAGGTTAGGCGCTTCGATCGATTCTAGCCCAGCCCGCGGCTTCCTCTTCTCCCATCTTCTCTCATTAACCTCCATTAATATTCGATTCATACTTGGCGCGCGCCTTCCTCGGGATCCGTCGGGCGCGGCCTCCCTTGCTTTCATGGATACGATGTAGAGGTAAAGCTAAAGTTTGAATCCCGCGGACCCACGACTCCGAGCTCGCTGAAGACCGATGTGTAATCGACTCGGCCTTGAGGATCGGAGAACGTGAGGCAAAAAAAAAAACTATTCGATTATATCTAAAAAGAATGAATATTCGTCTAGTCTTCAACCGCTCGCGCGTCGCAGATATTTATTTCGCTCCTCTGGGTCCTAAGCACACAGGACGAGCGGTCGGTCACGCCGGGCGCGGCCTCCCTACCTTTCATGGATATTATACTGCTGAAGCCGGAGTTCCAACCCCGCGGCCTCCTGTAGTCAATAGTTCAGATCTATTAATACCCCTCGGTCCAAGCACACAATATCGATCCCAAACCAAACTCACGCGCGACCTTATCGCGGGGACGTTATCATCGCGGGGTTGAAACTTGGCAGCGCTATCGTCTATCATCTATCATCCCGCCTATCGCTCGACGCTGAGCGCTCCTTATCTTCCTTATCACCAGCTGATCCCACCTCCCAACCGACGCCAACGCGGGGCAAGCGAGCGAGCGGGCCGGTGCGGGGAAGTGGCAAGCCTGAGTAAGTAACAAGTTGACAACCTTGACTTGATTCCTAATTTTAAAACAAGTTAGCGAATGATGCGCCCATGACGCGCTACAGCGCAAAGCATCGACCCCAACCGACCCCGCATCGTATCGCATCGGGATTCATATTCAGGGGCGGGGGCGCCGCGCCGCGACGATAACAACGTCCCATACTTAATGATATCGTATTGTGGAGACGAGATTATGTTAGACTACCCCGTATTATGTATTAGACCCTAACCGACCCCGCATCGCATCGGGCGGGACGCGACGATATCGATAACAACCGTACCGTATTGTGGAGACAAGCCGCGATTGTGTGCTTAGACCGCCCGCCCGTCCGTGTATCAGTAGCCAGAATAAGCTTAAGCTCCAGCCGCGGCGCGCTCGCAACGTGGTATTCAATTGTAAACTTGAAACAAGCTCCGGCCGCGGTGCTGGCGACAGGGGTCCGTCGACTCCGTGGGGTGGGCTAATTAGCGGTCGTTCGTTCCTGTAGCGAGCTGCCGCCACTGTCGATCTGCGACGCCGCGCACACGAATTATGTCGGAGCCATCGCCAGAATCGCGAAACTAATCGCCAAAATCCCCAGACGCGCGCAAACGAACACCGAACACCGAACAAACGAACAACGAACAACGAATACCGAACAAAGAAAGCAGAGAGAAACTTCTATATCAGATACGTATCATAACTCTAGGTAGGTCTATGTAGGTATTATCATACACGAGGGGACGGGACGGGACGGATCATAATACACAAGCGGGAGCGAGGTCGTATGTGCAAGCGGGGAGGTCGTATGTGCAAGTAGCAGAGGGGAGCGCAAGTCGAAGCGCAGAGACGAGGGATGAGGAGGAGGAAGGGGGTGAATCATATGTAGGGGGCGCATGAAGATGGAGGGGCGACGCATGAGAGCCAAAAACAGTGAATGAGATGGGATGAGTTGTGGACTTCTATGGTATAGGATAGATAAATATGATGATGATGGAAAGGGATGGATGGATAGTGGGATTAGAATCCAATGTCGGTTAGATATGTAGAGGGAGGGGAAGCGTCCAGCGTCCAGCGTCCAGTGTCCAATGTCGGCGTGGGTCGGTGTCGATTCGGTGTCGGTAGGGTAGTGTCAGTCAGTGCACAGAAGATGCCGCGAGGCAAGGGGGCGCAAGAGTGAAGAAGCCAATCCGGGGCGCACCGACTGTCAGAGAGCCCGAGAGCCTCAGAACTCCCCCCGCGACGCCGCCTCGAACTGGCTGAACCCCGGCAGCTCCACCCTCTCCCTCTCCCTCCCATTAATCCCTTGCCCAATCCCCCCAATCCCCCCAACCCCCTCCTCCTCCTTCACCCCGCTCCCGCCCTCGCGCGGACTCCCCGGGTGCGAGTTCGACCCACTACCACCCGGACTCAGCCCCGAAGTGGGCGCATGGCACGCCCCCCCACCAATCTTCAGCGGCGGCAGCCGCAACTCCATCGGCGGGCTCCCGCTCCTGCTCCCCGGCAGACTCGACGCAGCGCTGCTCGGCCCCCCCGTGCTCCACCCGCTCCAGCTCCCGCTCCCACTCGTGCTTGCACTGGTTGAGGTGGAGGTGGAGGCGGACCAGCTGCCCGTCGGGGTGCCCGCCTTGCCGTGCGGGACGTACGTACCGGAGGAGAAGGAGGACGAGGAGGTAGAGGAGGCGGAGGTGGGGGTCGAGGAGGTAGAAGAGGAGGAGGGGAGGGGCGGGAAGGACGGCCAGGAGGTGGTGCGCGGGTACTGCGCGTAGGCGGCGGACGGCGAGTGCGACGACGGGTGCGCGTGCGCGTGCGAGGAGGAGGGGTGGATCGGCGTCATCCCGAACGCGAGGCGCACGGAGTGCGCGAGGTGCTGCGGGTGCGGCGTCCCGTTGCCATGTGTATTCGGGGTATTCGTATTCGGGGCAATTGGACTGCCGGCACTCGAGTCGAGGGCGAGCGGCGGCGGGCTGGGCGCGCGCGAGTGCAGCGTGAGGGTGCGCAGGGGCCCGAGGAAGGGCGAGGTGCTCGTGCTCGGCGTGTGTGCGTTCGCGTGTGGGTGCCACGCCCCCGGCCCGTTCCCGCGCATCGTGAGCGCCTGCTCCTCCTCGCTCGACGGCGGCGACGCCGTCGACGTCCTGTCGCCGCGGTCGCCCGCCATGCCCATGCGATCCCGCTCCCCCACGTACTCCCGATCCCGCATCGCATACTCGCGGTCGTCCACCATGCGATCCCGGTCATCCAGCATGCGCTCGCGGTCGCCCGCCGCGCGATCCGCGCGATCGCGGTCGAGGGGGACGATGTGGGAGGCGGAGCGCGAGTGCGGGTGGGCGGCGGGGAGGGGGAGGACGGCGGGCTCGCGCGAGGCGGGGGTCATCTGCCACGCGGGGCCACTGAGCCGTCTATGGTTCTTGCTCGACTTTTCGCGCTCGCGGGCGTGTGAGAGGCGGAACGGGGCCGCTGCGGGGTCGCCGTTGTGCGATGAATGGGATTGGGGGTGGTGGGAGGAGGAATGGGAGTGGGGTTGGTGGTGGGACTGGGACTCGGCGCGGCGGAGGGCGGCGGCGTGGCGGGCCTCGTACTCGGCGCGGCGCAGGGCCTCCTGGCGCTCGAGGGCGTAGAGCTCGTCCATGGCGACGGAGGAGAGGGTGGTGAAGGCAGAGCTGTGGGTGTGGTACGAGTCGTCGATGTCCTCCCGCCTGGTGTCTGTGGGACGGGCATAGTCGTCCTCGTCGTCGCTGTTTGCGCGGCTGCGGGCCTTTTTCTTGGGCGGCGGCGGGTCGTTTGTGTGGATGCGCGAGTGGCGTGTCAGCTCGTCCGAGCGGGAAAAACGCTTCTCGCACGAGGGAAAGGTGCAGACAAAGGGTTTTTCGCCGGTGTGCGTGCGGATGTGGCGGGTCTGGCCTGTTTTTAATTAAAATGGCGTGGAAAACACACACGGCGTACCTGGTGCTCTAGTCGACTGAATGCGCGTCCACACAAGGGGTACGGGCACTTGTACGGGCGGGGCTGGGGCGCGGGGGGCGGGGCGGCCATGGCGGTGGTAGAGGACAAGAAGCGGGTGTCATCTTTTCCCCGCATCGATCATTATCCGGATAATCACACGCACCGGTCCGACCCCCGCACAGCTCGGCATGTGAATCAGGGACAACAACCCGTATTCACCCGGAGACGCATGCAATGCTTAGCCGCACAGTGCCTTGAATAACGACGAAAGAGAAAAAAATATTCATCGGACTTGGTTTAGTCCTGTTCGGTCTTGTTCGGCCCCACGTTGCCCCGCAACCCCGCTTACATTCATTCATTCAATGCATCGGCGATGTCTCCGTACCCCATACCCCGGACTACGCGGCGGCACCGACGCACAGATGTCGGGATGTGAAGAATCCACACAGATCCCCGATCAACCACAGCCCGTGATACTTTCGCAATGGTAGCCCAGCTCAGGTCTGGAGTGTGATTCTTGCTCGCGAACAACGGCGAGGTCGACGAGCAACCCCATTTGAACTCTATGTGTATGCGTGACAGATTTCGATTCACGTCCGCGGCCCACAGACGACCCTAGACGACCGATGCCTAGATTGACAGCCTCGTTCGACGTTGCCTAGACCATACATAATACCTACCCCCGAGGTGCACCCGAACCGAGATGACACTAGGTCTGCGTCCAGGCCTGATACAACAGCAGTAGAGTAGAAGCAATGCCGCGACGGTTTGAACTTTACACCGGTTTTACGGTATGTCCTTTCTTCCTCCTTCTCCCAATTCCTCCGAACTTCCCCGTCAGCGTAATCAATCTCCCGACGTACGTCCATTTTATTTCGGCAGTGGATTTATTGTAAATTTAAATAACGACAACTCCTAATCGCAGTGAGTCCTACATAAATCCAACCACCCAACAAACAAGACTCACTTACACATAAATTCCTACCCATCAAATGGTCCTTGGCGTGTTCTGTAGTACGGCGCCGTTGGTGTAGCGGTAACACACAATCTGATCTTGGCCCATCTAAAGTAGAGATATTTTAAGGTTGAGTCCTGGGTTCGAATCCCGGACAGCGCATGCGTCCATTCTGGCTCTTTTACTCTGCGCAGCTACTTTTTTACCCTCAAATCGACGTTGGCATACTTTGTAGTACCGCGCCGTTGGTGTAGGGGTAACACACAACCTGATCTTGAAGTGTTGTGGTAGTCTGTGGTTGGGTCCTGGGTTCGAATCCCAGACGGCGCATGGGTTTTGTATGGTCAAGCTTTTTTGCTCTTCAAGGTGCGTTTTACCCCTCAAATAGCTCTTGGCGTACTTTGTAGTACTGCACCGTTGGTGTAGCGGTAACACACAATCTAAGTTTACTGTGTAAAGAGAACGGATAAATTGAGGCTGAGTCCTGGGTTCGACTCCCAGGCGGCGCATATCTCCACTGTGACTTTTTACTCTGCACAGTTACTTTTTGACCCTCAAATAGCTCTTCTTACGGGTTGTAGTATTGCGCCGTTGGTGTAGGGTAACACACAATCTGAGTTTACTGTGTAAAGAGAGCGGATAGATTGAGGCTGAGTCCTGGGTTCGAATCCCGGACGGCGCATGTTGGTGGGAATGATGTCTTTTTTCTCTTCAAAGCTACGTTTCACCCCTCAAATGGTTCTTGGCGTACTCTGTAGTATTGCGCCGTTGGTGTATAACACACAACCTGATCTTGGTGCATTGAAATGATCTGTGGTTGGGTCCTGGGTTCGAATTCCAGACGGCGCGTGTGCCTGATCTCGGATTCTTTTTTCTGCTCACAGCTGCTTTTTACGCCTTAAATGCGTCTTGGATGTTCTGTAGTGCGGCGCTGTTGGTGTAGAGGTAACACACAATCTGACTTTAGTAGAAAAGAGAAAGATTGAGGTTGAGTTCTGGGTTCGAATCCCAGACGGCGCATTGATCAAGATGTTCATATTTTTTTACCCTCACAGCTGCTTTTGCCTCTCAAATGCCTCTTGGCATAGTTTGTAGTACCGCGTCGTCGGTGTAGTGGCAACACACAATCTGAGTTTAACGGAAGAGGACCAGCATTGAGATTGAGTCCTGGGTTCGAATCCCGGACGGCGCATGGTCGTGATGCGAATGATTTTTTTCCCTGCTCGCAGCTGCTTTTTACCCCTCAAATGGATCTTAGCATGAATTGTAGCACTGTGCCGTTGGTGTAGGGGTAACACACAATCTGAGTTTGTTGATAAATCCGCCTATCCAGGTTGAGTCCTGGGTTCGAATCCCAGACGGCGCATGTTGGTGGGAATGATGTCTTTTTTCTCTGCACAGCTACTTTTTGACCCTCAAATGGCTCTTATTATAGTTTGCAGCCCCGCGCTGTTGGGATAACGCACAATCTGATTTTATCTGCAAAAGGACAAAATTGAGGTTGAGTCTTGGGTTTGAATCACGGACGGCACATGGACCCATCGCAATTTTTTTTGGCTCTTCAAGGCTGTTTTTAAGCCCTCAAATGCCTCTTGGCATAGTTTGTAGTGTGGCGCCGTTGGTGTAGGGATAACACACAATCTGATTTTACCAGTTGACTTTGTAAGGATATTGAGGTTGAGTCCTAGGTTCGACTCCCAGACGGCGCATACATCCACCAATTCTGGCTTTTTCTGCTCACAGTTGCTTTTTACTCCTCAAATGGTTATTGGCATGGTCTGTAGTACGGCGCCGTTGGTGTAGGCGTAAACCAAATATAAGTACCACACGGCTTGGGTTCTCACGAAGGGAAAAGGGACTTCGAAAAACCCGCATCCACACAATATCCTCGGTTTAGATTTAACTGATTGGACGAAATGCGGGCCCACATCTGGAACACAACACCTTCTAAACTTGAGCTTGAGCTTCAAGTTCCCACACCGGTGAACCGAACTGGATCGTCTGCCGGGATATCTGCCACGCCGGAATTGGTACTTACCCAGTGCACCCATTATCAAGTTGACATGCCGGCGGACGAGTGTTATGAATTATAATCGGTTCCGGGACTCCTAGCGCCCGGCCTTGAATCCGAACGCCAATCCCCACTGCCGATGCACGGGAGTTGTAAGTGCTTTCGTTACTGTGGCCTCATGCGAGAGCTTTTTCTTCCATGTTCTTGGCCAAGTGCGCATCGGTTCTGCGTTCGAGACGTACCCCTCATCCCATTTGAATATATGTTCACCACTCTTACTCTGCTGGGATTATGGCCTGCGTCCGCCGACCCACTGCCCAGTGCCAAAAGAATGTCATCTATTTGCACCGCACTCAAAAATCTTGCGGCCGCTCATGTTTATCTAGAATCTACCCTCTTGCTTCCCGCTCACTGCGGCGTCCCTGGAAAAGAGTAAATACCTCATCTCCAGAGCTTGACGGGGAACCTCGACCCCTGGGACTGATATCGGGTAAAAGCAACCATGCCTCTGAGATTCAGAACCATTCGGCCGAATCTGAGATTAGGTTGAAAGCTCGTTGAAGAAATTGCCCAGCGCTGTGGAATCGGGCATTGGATCTAGTGGGTTCAAATCGCGGAATGGGTTTACATAATTCGACTTGCTGTCAGCCTAGGCATTCATTATTTTCTTTTGCGGTGGGCCAGGGTCACGAATATTAATATTTGTTGAATAATCAATGCGAACGTACATCCTAAACATGGCAAGGTGGGACCTGATTCGCCCGCTTGAACCAGCGACCATTCGTTCACTCCCTCCTTCCACCGGCTCGAGCCAAACGAGGGGGATATTGGCCCAGTTCGTGTGAAAGTCGCGGACACTCGAGAAATTGGGGAAGTAGCCCAGGCGCGCATCGGACAAGTTCTGCAGCGAGCTGTCGGATGGGTACTTCATGAAGTAAAATCTCCGTGTCCCGTCCGGTTCATTGGGGCCTGCAATCGTGAAGACAACGGTGTCGTGCGTGTCGAGATTGGTGACACAGGCGATGGGGATGATGCATCCTTCTACCCCAAAGTAAGGAGGCCCCCACGTGGAGCGTTAGGCGTTGAGCGGAGATAAAACCTCCCGTGCCACGCTGGCCAGCGGACGGAATGGTGAAATTTGTTTCTCAACTTGACAGGAGCGGGTTGCGTGTTCCAAAGAGTTTCGTCTATCACATATTGATCAGGCCGAGGCTGCAGCCAAGCGTCAGGAAAGCCCTGGAAATCTCGAATCAGCGATGAAGGGCAGACTGGAACGCAGACCATGGTTAACGCACTGATTTGGCTGACTGAACGGTCGAGACACCGTATCTAGGGCCCGGAGTGGCTTCCTGAACGCGGCCAACGAGGAGAAGGGTAGCAGTCTGCACAGAATCAAAAGAAGAAGGGTGTAGTACAGAGAAAACGCACCACAGACATTTGCGAAAGGCAAGCGAGAGGGGGACAGGCATGCGAACTTTGCGAAAGATCAGACAAATTCGGGAATCACCGAAGGGATAATACTTTTCGTCTGGCCGCTTTGATCCGCCGTTCCCCAAATACGATTCCAAAAGAATCTGATTTACTCCTCCACGATGAATTCCTACGAGAACCAGGCTCGTCCATTTTATTTCAAATTTTTGGATTAGGAAATTAACTTTCGCAAGAAACGCCTGAATTACAGCTGTTTGCATAAAGGATGGCAGTAGCCCCTTTTTTGAAAATAAGAGCAATTTTGATCTCGCACTTTGCCATCGACAGTCTGACCGCATATTGACTTGATCTTAGGTGCGTTCGAGAGGGATTTGACGGGCCTCTCACGGATGATATATGATAGTGGAGTTTAAATATGCGGTCCAGTCAATCTGGATTCAACTTTTGGCACGCATGCTCTCAGCTCTGAGCGCTTGTGACACTTCACGACCAAGTAAAAAAGACGTATGTTTATTCATGTATACCCGATACTTTCAAATACTAGATAGGACTGATAGCAGGGAGCGGTTTGTTCGTGGTATGCGCTTTAAACGGCTTCGGCAGAGAGGGAACCCTTAGAAGGCCAACGCTGTTCCAGAAGTCTGCACTCGAGATGGCTTTATAGCTCTCGATTTTGAGGCTCTCCAGGGCCGGGAACTGCTGTGGATCGGCAAAAACGCCATCATAGACTTGTTTGTCCCGGCGGCAGCAACGTCCAAGTCTAGGCGACGCAGACGCCGAGACACACCTAATGCATCGGCGAGGACGGCATGGGTAATACCGTTTGTGATGGAGAGGGATATAAGGCTGGTCGCCGAGCGATCGAGCCATCCTTGGACGACCTCCGCGAATCGTGAGATGGCAGCGGGTGTATCTGAGCCACCAAAAGATAGGCCGACAGATGGGATATGCAGGGACGCCCATAACTTCGGCATGGAGTGGGATATGCCTCTCCAATAACTGCAGATGTGACCGAGAAGCAGCGGCGCTTCCCTTGCGTTGATAAGCGCATTATGCGTTGTCGGGAGGCAAGAGAAGAATATCTCCTCGAGTACGTCCTGCGGAATGCACCTGGCGGGAGATATGAGGGCTTTGTATCCGTCAATCTCGTCCTTCAGCGATATGCGCTGCCAGTGGGCAATGAATTTGTCCATTGCCGCCTACATTTGTGCGATACGTTCGTCGAGGAGAGACAGCTGCTGCAGCGACTCGGTGAGGATTTCTTCCACTTCGGCATCTGAGGGTACATAGTTTGTGTTGAGCCTGCTCGCGAATGTCGATTTCATGATGAGTGTAATAAGGGAGAGGCGGTGTCGGGAACTTGGGCCGAAAATCCGAATACATCCGGATGCAACATTTTATCCCCGCCCAAACTCAGCGGAATTTTGCCTGTTCTTTCACGCTCAGGCCTGGATCGCCGGGCCAGTTTAAGGAGATCTCCCGTTCAACAGCGCAATTCAGACCTCAAGTTGAATCTTCAAGTTGGCTGAGGCCGAGTCCCGTCATCTCGCAGTGACCTCCGACTCGGAGTCCTGGGTTAGCCTGGGTTCTCGTGGGGATCTTCCACTGTCCGCTGACTCGTTCGCGGACTCCTGATAAGTGGAAGAACCTTAGGAACCTGAAGCTCTCTTGGCATGTGTTCCTTTCGCGAATGTTCGGCGGCCAGCAGCGTATTCCATCCTGACAGAGATGCAGTTTCGTTTCTTTTCTAACCTTCCACCTTCGCATGCCTTTGAACGGACCACTCCCATGACTTAAGCACAGGTTCAGCAATCGCTTCCGCCGTCCGAGCCGGAATTTTGCATGTCCGTATGAATCTGTCCCATGATCACAGCGCCTCTCCGCCTCCTTCACCATGTGGGTACCATTATCCTCCGGGAACTGCATGTCGTAAACCGAGTGCGCAATCCAACCCATGACTGCATTTTCTCTCTCGTATTTAACCAAGCCATCCGGATGCCGAATATCCAGAGGCCATAGCGTCGTTCTCCCGAAATGCCTCTCTTAAATGTGTCGTACAACGTCCTCGGTTCATTGGCAATAACTTTGCAAGTGATATTGCTGTTGGCTCCTTCGTCCAGTGGCCAGACCACAAATATCTCACCGAATTGGGAGGCCGCATACGCAAAGGCAAGTCAAATCCTTTAAAATTAGCACGTCGCTTATTTGCTGTTCAGGCTCAGAAGGCTGTTTCGCAACTGACATTAACAGACAAAGTAAATATATTGACAGGTACGCGCACCTGATTCTGCAGCGACACTGGTTCACCCAATTTATAGGACAGGGTGATGGATGTAAGTTCTGTGCAGTTGTTCGAGCCTTGCCTAATATTCTCCTGGGCTTCCAGCGCGATGCATTGGCAACACATTCGCCGTCCCTTCAATTGGGTTCCCTGGCTTCTGTCTAGAGGGTTGGTTTATCAGCCGTGCTTTCACCGTTCACTGTTGAATCGGAACTAAAGATAGTCCGCTCGGCGTGCGTCTCGCCTCCAAGTGAGTCGCTTGTCTGGTATTCCTCGCCTCGATTTTAACCCATCTGAAGTGTATCGGCGTTCCCACCGTGAGTATAAACCTGATACCTGGACTTGAGAGATTCTAACTTCGACAGTGCTATCAATGTCGCCTCTACCTTCAATCGGACTTTGATGAGGCTGCGTGGCGAAGCGATGGGCGCAGAGTTTCGCGGAAAAGGTCGAGTCGGATTTTGTAATCGTATGTTTCAAAAATTGAACTCGGATCAGGGGTCAACGTTGCGCTGGGTCCTATGATGTGTGTTTGCCCCATATATCTCGGGGGAGAACGTACTTAAAATGCGAAGGAATCTTATGCGCGCGCCGGCTGCTGGGCGGAACTGGGAAGGGTAGGTGTATTTTTTGAAAACATTTGACCGTCCCACTGAACTAATCCGGATAGATTTGGTGCAGACGCCTTTCTGTCAGGCGAGGGAGCTTTTGAGACTGTAACAGGTACGAAGTTTCGGACGCGGGGGGGTCAAATCTGAGTAGAAGAACAGGAATGCAGAGTCAGGGAGTGCAAGGTGAAACAAACAATTAAACTTACATTCTATATTACTAACGCATGTAATCCAGCCACAGCCAAGCATTTTGTCAACAATGAGCAAGAGCATTTCCGGACGACAAGCTCGTCGGGTGTGGATGACCGGTTCTTCATTTGATTTTTTTCTCTTTCTCTAACCTCACCGGCTTTCGCAGAACCCAACACGAACTCT